GACATAACAAGACTCTCAGAAAAAAGAAAGGTTTTATCGTCATTGAAAATCAATTGACCATATATGTGAGAGTTTATTTCTAGGCACTGTGATATATTCCATTGATCTGTATATCTATTCTTATGTTAGTCCTATCCAATCTTGACTACTATAGCATTGTAGTAAGTTTTGAAATGGGAAATGTGAGTTCACTAACTTTGTTCTTTTTCAAGATGATTTTTGCTGGACCAAGGTCCTTATATTTCCATATGAATTTAGAATCAGCTTACCAATTTCTACTAAAAAATTAATGTCTGGAATCTTAGACTTGCATTGAGGCGGGGTACAGTGGCTCACGCCTGTAATTCCAACATTTTGAGAGGCCCAGGTGTGCAGATTACCTGAGATCAGGAGTTTGAGACCAGCCTAACCAAGATGGACAAACCTCATCTGTACTAAGAATACAAAAAATTAGCCAGGCATGGTAGTGCATGCCTGTAATCCCAGCTACTCGGGAGGCCGAGGTAGGAGAATTGCTTGAACCTGGGAAGCAGAGGTTGCATGCCATTGTACTCCAGCCTGGGCAACAAGAGTGAAACTCCATCTCAAAAAAAAAAAAAAAAAGACTTGCATTGATTATGTAAGTAACTTTAAGGAGTATTGCCAGTCAAACATCATTAAGTCTCCAGTCCATGAACACAGGATGTTTTTCCATTTAAGTCATGTTTAATTTTCTTAAACAATAATTTGTAGTTTTGGGGGGTACAAATCTTACACTTCTTTTATTCAAGTATTCCTAAGTATTACATTGTTTTTGATGCTATGGTAAATGAGATGTTTAAGTTTCAGATTTTACATTGCTGGTGTATCAAAATATAACTGATTTTTGCATATTCATATTGCATCCTACAAACTTGCTGAACTTATTTATTAGCTCTACTAGTGTTTGTTCTTGTTGTTTTTTAAGGTATTAATTCCTTAATATTTTCTCTATAGAAGATCATGTCATCTGCATATAGGCATAGTTTTACTTCTTACTTTCCAATCTGGATACCTTTTTAAAAATAATGAATTACCTATACCATATTAATAATTTGTAGAATTTATCACAATTACCCATTTACACATGCCTGTGTGATTTACTAAGTTTAGTCTTCTTCTCTAGACTTGAAATTCTCCAAAAATAGTGAGGGTGCTAACTTTGACACTATCATAATCCAAAAGTCATCTAACTGCTTGTACATACTGCGTCTTCCAGTCGTAGTTTTTGGATGGGATAATTAAACGGGGGAAGAAATGGAGGATTTTATTCTGGGAAGAAGCACAGCTAGGTTAAGACTTTGGAATGGTCATTACTGTGGCCTTAGGCAGGGTACGTGTAAGCAGACTGTTGGGATTATTGGGATAGAAAGTAGTGAGCAGACACCCCCAGAGCAAAATGTGGAGAAGAGACAAAGAATTTAAGAGACATTCCCAGACATGGCCACAGGGAAGATGTAAGAGGTGAGGAAGAGACCAGAGGTATAATAATGCCCAGGTTTCCAGCTTGTGTGAACCTTGGTGCCATTCACTGGGAAGAGAATCCAGATAGAAAACTAGGTCAAGCAGAGGGAAAATGCATCTAGGATGCCTCACTACTCCCACATGGCTGGAGTGGTCCCCAAGGCCTGGTCATCCTGGCACACAGAGATGTACACAAGGACGGTTCAGTTCTGTTGGTGCTGGAGCTCCTCAGTTTTAATCAACAGCCTTCTCAGAGCTCCCTCTGCTCGGGGACATCTGTGGATCTTCAGTAGTCATTGACACAGGAAGAGTTTAAATCTCCTCTCTCAGAGCTGCTGCCAGACAGACTCTGAATGCCCAGGGACCAAGGTCTTCTCACTATTGCTATTTTCCCTCCTTTCATAAGGACTTGGGTTTTACTTAAGTCAATACTCCCTCCAAGCTCCAAGTTGCCTCTTTGACTCTATCAGAACATAGGTTAAGCCTTAGTACCTCACTGAAAGGCATTAGAGGCTCTGTGCAAGGAGTCCTGCTCTCTTCTCACTTTGTACATGTCGTAGGCTTGTACTTCATGCAATTGAAATCTTGGATGGCTATGTGCGTCCATTTGGCTAATGGTATGGGTTCCTTCTGGACAAAAGCTTTAAAGGCAAACATGTGGCTTGCGATGTGCCCCTTCCTCCCACCTCTGCCAGGGAGGAGCATAGAGACAGAGACTTCCTCAGCCCAGCAGCTGCTCACTGACCACAATGAAGTGAGCCCTCTTCACACCCACCTCCATCAAATGTGAACATTTAATGTGACCAAGAAATAACTCAATTTGTTGTTTCAGCCCACTAAGATTTTGAGCTTGGTTGTTACTGCAGCATCATTTAGACTCTCCTGACTGATACATCTAAGACTTTCCTTCCAGGACCTTCGTAGCTAGAGAGAAGTCAGTGCCTGGCTTCAAGCTTCAAAAAAGAGGCTGACTCTTTGTTAGAGACTAATGAAGCTGATGACTTTGAATTAAAATAAATGTTTATTTCCCATCTGAAAATCCTAGGGCCCTTAAGAATTATGCTACATCGACTCTGCCTGTGCTCTATAATTGGAATAACAAAGGCATGGTGTCCTGAATTTTTAAAGCTCATTCTTGAGATCTTATGCTCAGAAAAAAAGATTATTTTCAAAATATTACTGCTCATTAAAAATGCACCTCATTAGGCCAGGTGTGGCGGCTCACTCCTATAATCCCAGCACTTTGAGAGGTCGAGGCAGGCAAATCACAAGGTCAGGAGATCGAGACCAGCCTGACCAACATGGTAAAACCCCACCTCTACTAAAAAATACAAAAAATTAGCCAGCCGTGGTGACACATGCCTGTAATCTCAGCTACTCAGGCGGCTGAGGCAGGAGAATCGCTTGAACCTGGAGGCAGAGGCTGCAGTGAGCCAAGACCACACCATTGCACTACAGCCTGGGCAATTAAGAATGAAACTCCATCTCAAAAAACAAAAAAAGGCACCTAATCACCGAAGAGTTCTGGTAGAGATGTACAAGGCAATTAACATTGTTTTCATGCCTGCTAATGCAATATTCATTCTCCAGCCCATGGCTCAAGAAGTAATTTTGACTTCCAAGTCTTATTATTTAAGAAATACATTTTGTTCCAAGTCTTTGCTATTGTGAACAATGCTGCAATAAACATACGTGTACATACATCTGTATAATAGAATGATTTATACTCCTTTGGGCATATACCCAGTAATGGGATTACTGAGTCAAATGGTATTTCTATTTCTAGATCCTTGAGGAATCGCCACACTGTCTTCCACAATGGTTGAACTAATTTGCACTCCCACCAACAGTGTAAAAGTGTTCCTATTTATCCACATCCTCTCCAGCATCTGTTGTGTCCTGATTTTTAATGATCGCCACTTTAACTGGTGTGAGGTGGTGTCTCATTGTGGTTTTGATTTGTATTTCACGAATGACCAGTGATGATGAGCTTTTTTTCATGTTTGTTGACCACATAAATGTCTTCTTTTGGAAAGTGTCTGTTCATATACTTTGCCCACTTTTTGATGGGGTTGTTTTTCTCTTGTAAAGTTGTCTAAGTTCTCTGTAGATTCTGGATATTAGCCATTTGTCTTATGGGTAGACTGCAAAAATTTTTCCCATTCTGTTGGTTGCCGGTTCACTCTAATGATAGTTTCTTTTGCTGTGCAGAAGCTTTTAAGTTTAATTAGAACCCACTTGTCAATTTTGGCTTTTGTTGCCATTGCTTTTGGTGTTTTAATCATGAAGTCCTTGCCCATGCCTATGTCCTGGATGGTATTGCCTAGGTTTTCTTCTAGAGTGTTTATGGTGTTAGACTTCATGTTTAAATCTTTAATCCATCTAGAGTGAACTTTCGTATAAGGCATAAGGAAGGGCTCAAATGCCCATGAGTGATAGACTGGATAAAGAAAATGTGGTACATATACACCATGGTATACTATGCAGCCATAAAAAAGATGAGATCATGTCCTTTGTGGGGACATGGAAGAAACTGGAAACCATCATTCTCAGCAAACTGACACAAGAACAGAAAACCAAACACCGCATGTTCTTACTTATAAGTGGGTGTTGAACAATGAAAGCACATGGACATAGGGAGGAGAACATCACACACTGGGGCCTGGGGGATGGGGGCTAGGGGAGGAATAGCAGTGGGTGGAAGGATTGGGGAGGGATAGCATTAGGAGAAATACCTAATGTAAACAGCGGGGCAATGGATGCAGCAAACCATTACCATGGCACATGTATACCTATGTAACAAACCTGCACGATCTGTACATGTGCCTCAGAATTTAAAGTATAATAAATTAATTAATTTTTTAAACAAAGAAATAAATTTCGTAAGGCCATGGTTGCCATAGATATTGTCCTCTGATGGATCCAAGCAAGGTAAAATTGAAAACGTTCTGGAAAAACTTAGCGCTCTAGATGCCATTAAGAATGTTTATGATACATGGGAGTAGGTCAAGATTTCGATATTTAGCAGCAGTTGAGAAGAAGTTGAATCCAACTGTCGTGGATAACTTTGAGGGGTCCAGGAGTTCACTGGAGGATGTAACTGCAGATGTGGTAGAGACAGCAAGAGAACCAGAATTAGAAGCAGAGCCTGAAGATATGACTGAAATGCTACAGTCTTGTGATCAAACTTTAATGAATGAGAAATTGTTTTTTATGGGTGATCAACTAAAGTGGTTTCCTAAGATAGAATCTACTCCTGGGAAAGATGCTGTGAACATTGTTGAAATGAAAACAGGATTTAGAACACAACATAACTTAATTGATAAAGCAGTGGTAGTGTTTGAAAGGACTGACACATTTTGAAAGAAGTTCCACTGGCTGGGCGCAGTGGCTCACGCCTGTAACCCCAGCACTTTGGGAGGCATAGGCGGGTGGATCACTTGAGGTCAGGAGTTCAAGACCAGCCTGGCCAACATGGCAAAACACTATCTCTACTAAAAATACAAAAATTTTCCAGCCATGGTGATGTGTGCCTGTAATCCCAGCTACCTGGGAGGCTGAGACATGAGAATTGCTTGAACCCAGGAAGGAGACATTGCAATAAGCCAAGACTCTCACTTGGGCAACCAAGTGACACTGGGTTTCAAGAACAAAAAACCCACCAAAGAAACGGAAAGAAAGAAAGGAAGTTCTATCCTGTGTGAAATGCCATCAAACAGCATCCCATGCAACAGAGAAATCTTTAAGGAAAGAAACAGTCAAGCAGTGTGGCAAACTTCATTGCTGTCTTATTGTAAGAAATTATCACAGCCACCCCAAAGTTAAGCCCAGTGTTCCCCTGATCAGTCAACTCCCCCTGCCATTCCCATCGAGGCAAGACCCTCCACCAGCAAGAAGATGACAATTTGCTGGAGGCTCATTAACAATTTTAAATTAAGGTATGTGCATTTTTTTTTTTAGATATAATGCTGTTACATACTTCAGGGTCCACAGAATAGTGTTCCTGTAGCTTTTATATGCACTGGGAAACCAAAAAATCTGTGTGACTCATTTTATTTATTGCAGTGGTCTGGAATTGAACCTATAATATCTTCAAGGTGTGTATATGTTTATATATATACATATATATAGAACATAAAAAATATATATGTACACATATATATTAGCATATTCTGTGATAAATAGTAGGTACACATGATACAGTAGATGCCTTCTTTTCTTTTTTGAAATGGAGTCTCACCCTGTGGCCCAGGCTGGTGTGCAATGGCATGATCTCAGCCCACTGCAACCTCCACCTCCCAGGTTCAAGCAATTCTCCTGCCTCAGCCTCCTGAGTAGCTGAGATTACAGGTGCCTGCCACCACACCTGGCTAATTTTTTTTGAATTTTTAGTAGAGATGGGGTTTCACCATGTTGCTGATCTCAAACTCCTAACCTCAGGTGATCCACCCACCTCAGCCTCCCAACGTGCTGGGATTGCAGGAGCGAGCCACCACGCTTGGCCTGATGCTGCCTTTTCTTGTATGCTGCCACCTCACTGAACTCTTCTCATATAAAAGATGTCTTCCAAGAAAGCTCATCTATCTCCTTATTCATGTGGTTTCCCAGTTACTTCTTCATCTTTTCGGTTGTGAATCATAGCATGTTTCCAGGCATGCTTTATCTCCTATTTCCTGCCTAAATAATTGTCCCAGATCCAAGGGGCAATGTATATGCAATGGTCCCAGGGCTGGCACAGCACTTAGCTCAGCTTTTAATATGCAGTGTGGTGAAAAGGGGTGTCAGGTTGGGAGAGAAACCTCATCTAACATAGTTCAGGCCACTTACATTCATCTGAAGAGAGAGAAGGGATGCATTTGGACTGCAATTCTGCACCTTATAAATAGACATATATAGCTCTGCATACATTATTAATATGGGCTTTATTGCTAGCTTTATTGAATCCACGATGGGGCTTCTCTCGGGAAGCCACAGAACACGGGAAGATTGCACAGACGCCGGCATTAACCAGGACCACGATATACCAAGCAAATAAGGCTGTGCAAACAGCAGTATTCATGGGAGCTGCATCCTACAATTCAAATAACATAATAACAAATAATGTGCTCAAGCAAGCCCCACAGCTGCCCTTTAAAGTATTTTATGCATTTCTTATCCATGTTGCTCATGCTAGCACAAAAGTAGGCAGGGAAAATGTGTTTTAAAGAAGTATCTTAGTACCGCCTGCTGAGCACTACATGAAGGGCCTGCCTTCCTTGGCAATCTCACCTTGCACGGGCCTCTCCCTTCGCTCACTCTGCATCAGATGCCCTGCTTATCCCTTAACAGTCAAAACTATTTCCTATCTCCAGTCCTTGTACCTGGCAGGTTTCTCTGTCCAGAGTGAGTGTTCTCTCTCTCTCTCACACACACACACACACGCTCACGCAGACGCTCACACATCTTCATGTCACTTATCTCTCATGCCCTTCTGGTCTCAGATCAAGTCCAGTCTCTTGTGAGAGTCTTTCTGTCATCACCCAGTCAAAAGTGGAAGCTCCCATTCATTTTCCATCATTTACCCTGTTTACTGGAAGCACTTACTTTTGTAGGCAATTTTCTTTTTTATTTTTTTCCTTTTTTTTTTTCTTATCTGTCTCTTCACATCTTTATTATCTGTGTCTTTCTCTAGAACAGGGCTTCCCAAACACCTGGCTGCAAAGCAGTTCTGGCCAGTGACCTGTTAGGAACTGCTGCAGAGCAGGAAGCCAGTGAGCATTATCACCCGAGCTGCACCTCCTGTCAGATCAGCAGCGGCATTAGATTCTCACAGGAGCGCAAACTCTATTGTGAACTGTGATGAGAGGGATCTAGGTTTTGTATTCCTTAAGAGAATCTTTTTTTTTTTTTTTCAGATGGTGTTTTGCTCTTGTTGCCCAGGCTGAAGTGCAATGGTATGGTCTTGCCTCACTGCAACCTCTGCCTTCTGGGTTCAAGCAATTCTCCTGCCTCAGCCTCCCAAGTAGCTGGGATTAAAGGCGCCTGCCCCCGACACCTGGCTTTTTTTTTTTTTTTTTTTGTATTTTCAGTGAAGTGGGGGTTTCACCATGTTGGTCAGGCTGGTCTCCTGCCACCACACCTGGTTTGGGGTTTTTTGTTTGTTTGTTTGTTTGTTTTGGTATTTTTAGTAGAGATGGGTTTCACCATGTTGGCCAGGCTGGCCTCAAACTCCTGACCTCAGGTGATCCGCCCACCTCAGCCTCACAAAGTGCGGGGATTATAGGTGTAAACCACCACACCTGGCCTCCTTATAAGAATCTAATAGTCGACGTAATGCACTTGAATTATCCCGAAAGCAACCCCCTATCCCCCACCTGTGGAAAAATAATCTTCCACGAAACCAGTCCCTGGTGCCAAAAAGGTTAGGGACCTCTGCTCTAGAACATAAACTTCATGGGAGCAAAAATCCTATCTGATTTATTCATCACTGGATCTCCAATACATAGATAATATTGGCGGCATGCAGTCAGTTGGCAATAAATATTTGTTCAATGAATACATGAACGAATCAGAATGAATTCCACAACACAACCATCAATGACCAATAGGCTCATTCATCTTCTTTGTCCACTGTGAATCTCTGCTTGATGTCAACTTCATGAAAGGCAGTGCTCTGCGTGTTTATGGCTGAAAGCGGGAATGGCACTTAGTAGGTCCTCAATAAGCATTAATAAACTGAACGGAACTAAAGTCTGTTTCAGAAGTATTAGGGGGCCTGTGTGATCCATGGTGGCTCTAGCAGTGTTTTACCCATTTTATTCCTTTTATACTCCATCTGGGAGAGAATGGAGTTTTGAAGAGTGTGGCTTTCCCCCCGGCTTCCTGTGACTAGAAAATTACCCCTTTGTGAAACTTGGCCAGGGAAGCCCCCATCTTTTATTGATGACAATGACTCTGGGAATATAAATTGCCCCTTACATACAGAATTTAGGGAGTGAATAGATAGTAGGGGCTCAGATTGTTATTATCTGAAAATGTCCAATAATAGCAACCATTCCCCTTGCCTCCCCTGATAAACATTCACTATTATAAACCATTCACCACTGAGAGGTTCCCCTTAGCCAGATCCTAGTTTAGCAGAGAGTGTGTAACCCAACAGTGGTCAGTAAGACATTAGCCCAGCTAATTTTTGTATTTTTAGCAAAGACAGGGTTTCGCCATGCTGGCTAGGCTGGTCCCAAACTCCTGATCTCAAATGGTGCGCCTTCCTTAGCCTCCCAAACTACTGGGATTACAGGCGTGAGCCACGGCGCCCAACCTTGACACTGGGTTTTTAAGCTGAGTAGGAGTTAGCAATTAGAGGAAAGAGTAGGGTGTATTTCATTAAAAAAGAGAGCAATAGAAAGAGAGTCATACAGTCTTAGGGAACAGAACCAGGCTCTCTGTTCTGCCGTGAAGATGAAGCCTGTTGGACTTCTGAGTGATAGTGGGGGCCGTTCTGATGCTTTTCATCCAGGGACAGAGTAATGGTCAAATCCTGCCACCCATTCTTCTCATGTCTTATTTCCCAAAAGCAACCTCTACACACAGCAGCCACGTTCCTTTTTCCATTGCTTAGCCAGCATGCCAAATTCAACCTTTGCATAGCTCCAGTGAGAGCTAAGTTGATGGGACAACAAACTTAAATCTCTTTTGAATCTGTGGAATTTGGAAATACAGAAGGGAACCTGCCCTAACTTACCTACCGTGGAAGAGCAGGGGAAATGGGGCAGAGGGAAGAGGAAGCAAGTGTGTACTTCTGTCTCCTGGGAAGGAGCAGTCATTGCAAGAGGTGGATTACACAGGGTCTCCAAAGGCTCAGGAGCCCCACCAACCAGCATGCATTAACCTGAGCTCTGATTGCACCTGTCAGCAACCCACCTCTTATGTGAAAGAGAAATACTTTAGGGGGATGCTGAGAGATATGGCAGTGTTGGAGAAACATAAAAATTTCACCCTCAACAAAAAAAAGAGGTCAAAGACTGAAAGTAGAAAAATGTAAACTTACTTGGTCATGAAAAACCTTCTGATGCCATGAGAAGGAATTTGGACTTGATCACCAGGCTTCCAGCTGCCCGAGCTGTGGGAGGAGTTTCAGGAAATGGTAGATACATGGTGAGTTGTGAAAAGGCCACTGGGGCAGCAGAGCTGAGAACCAGCAGGAGGAGGTGATGTGGGCAGAGCCTTGTGGATGCATAGTTGGAAGCAAAGTGGGCAAGAATCATGCCGTCCCATCAGGGCCTTTCCTCTCCTCAACCAAATGTTGCTCTTGGATCTTGTGTGGTTCTGTGTTCTGTTAAGACTTCAGCATCAGGCTCCCGGGAGACAGGGTCTCTGCTACAAATAGTAACTGTGATGAATAGTGAGAGCTCTAGATGCCGGCTGGCCATATTTTCCTGTAAGGGGCCACATACTAAATATTTTATACTGTAAGGGCCAAAAGATCTCTTTTGCAGCAACTCATGTATGCCAATACAGCACAAAAGTAGACATAGAAAATGCATACGTAGAGGGGTGTGGTTGTGTTCTAACGCAACTTTAGAAATGATGGTTAGATTGGACCCATGGGATAGCATGCAGTTGTCAGTTTGCA